GTTGTTGGCACGATAGCGTCCACAAAAAAGAGATATTGAGATGAACTTTTCCCAAAATATTTTTTATTGATCAGAAATGTTTGGTATTGAAAATGGGCAAAATCGGTCAACGATTTAACATAGCCCCCATACAAATGTACCCCCAGGAATATTGTATAAAGAGTTTCAAACATTCACAAATTCGTTGTTTATGAAGCAAATGGCACAAAAATTCGCATAAGTCAGTTTTTTGACCTCCGAAATAAAATTCTGCATTATGTCGGACATAGGACCACAATTGGCCCTACCCCCCATATAAGGTCCCCTTTTGAAAATTACTTTAATTCTGATTACTAGCTTAAACATACGAATATAGCGATGGAATTCGACACACATAGGTTTCATGCAAGCCAATATTTCTCCACCAAACTATATGTGGATCGGTCCATAATTGTCCCTACCCCCCATATAAGGTCCCCTTCAGAAAAGTATCTTAGGAGCCAAAACCTTTCCAGATAATTTTATGTGGATCGGTCCATAATTCACCCTACTCCCTATATAAGGTCCCCTCCATAAAATTACTTTAACGCTCATTACTGGCTTAAAAAGAAGAGTATAGCGATGAAATTTCACAGAAGTAAGTTTTATACGAGCCAAAATCTCTCTACCAAATTTTATGTTGATCGTCCATAATTAACCCTACCCGCCCATATTAGGTCCCCTTCAGAAAATGTCTTTAACGCTCATTATTGGAGTAAAAATACTAGCATAGCGAAGAAATTTGACGTAAATAAGTATCTTAGGAGCCAAAACCTTTCCACCAAATTGTATGTGGATCGGGCCTTAAATAGGGTCCCGCATATAAGGTCCCTAACAGAAAATTACTTTAACGCTGATTACTGGCCTAAAGGACGAGTAAAGCGATGAAATTCGATATGGTTTTGTATCAGCTAAAATCTCTATACAAAATTTTGTGGGGATCGGTCCATAATTGACCCTACCCTTCATTTAAGATCCCCATCAGAAAATCACTTAAACGCTCATTACTGGCGTAAATGAAATTCGACACTGATAAGTTCTATAGGAACCGAAATCTCTATACCAATTTGTATGCGGATCAGTCCATTATAACCCCACCCCAAATAAATTTCCCCTCAGAAAATGACTACAACTTAACCCCGTATAAGGTCCTTTTAAGAAAATGACTTTAATGCTCACTGGCTTAAAAATACAGGTATATCTATGAAATTTGAAATTAATAAGGAAATGAAATCTTCCTACCGACTTTTATGAAAATTGGTCCATATGTGTATATATAACCCTACTCCCTATATAAATTAACATATTTAATTCGAAAGAGCACTGTCAATAGTTAAACCCCCATTAATGGACCTCTTTAAAATATTACAATGATGTTCTCATTAATATCGATACATAAATTCAAAATATCAAAGTTTATTTATATGGCAGTGATTTGATGGTGGGTATATAAGATTCGGCATAGCCGAATATAACACTCTTACTTGTTGGTAATTGTTTTTACCGGTTGTAACCTCTTCATCTTAACAATAGCAGAATACTCATAAAAAATTTGACAGTAGTCGGTAGTCCTTTGAATTTTGTGTCAGAAACACAATTTTAAATTACTATTTCAATAAGGAAATAAATTAAAAATTGTACAAAATGGGTCAATGGTGTACCATTGCACTTTTTGAAGATCAAATTGTAGCAAAAAAAGTGATACCAATTTCTCTAACACTGCTGAACATAATAAAAATCTTTTAATAAATACAATTGTAATTGGTATCTTTAAAGATATACTTATTTTTATTAAAAACCTATTTGTTTTCTTCTTTTATGTTACAAGATGTTTCGGGTTTATCAAAATTTATCTTAGCATATTCATTTTTAATCTCCCCAATGTGTGAGTCGCTTAAGCTTTCCTTGAATCCATATCGAGTATTTACTTCATTCCCACATTTTGGTAGATCTAAACTGGCATAATAAAGATCCTGCTTCGTACAAGGAGCATCTGCATGGTGTAATTTGATGTCTTCAAAATTTTTGTCAGGACAAACTTTACTGCACATTAAAGAAAGTGTTGAATCGTTGATCAAGATTGATGATTTTCCATCACTTTTATCATCTAGGTTCTGATAATTAGTTACTTTTTTAATTGAAGCATCCATCATATCAATTATTGTTTCAGTTGAATCTTTTTGTTTAATGTTATCTTGATTTAGCGTATTTATACATGCATTATTTAATTGATTATTATTCGAAGTTAATGTAATAGGCTTCATTTCTAAGTATCCATTATCAACATTTTTTAAACTTCTATAAATATATTCTGTTGAATTTGAAATGTTAAAATTTCGTGGTAGCATATCTGACGCGTTTTGGCACTCAAATTTGTTTTGTTGCAAATTTTGTTTAACAGTTTTAGCAGTTGACTTTGAAAAGTCAATTTCCATCAAATCGCCCATTTGATCAACTGCTTGTAAATTTCTATTAATAAGAACAGGAACACTGATCGACTTTCTCGTTGAACTTTCTCCAAAATCGTGTTTAATATTATCACTATTAAACAATTTAGGACTTGTTTTTGAACATATGCGAGTACTTTTGATTTTGGATCCTACTGAAAATGCTCTAACTCGATTAACTATAGCATCCTTAGATAAATCATTTCCATATTTGGTCCCATAGGAATTGGCTCGAAAAGAGGACAGTAATCTGAAAACAGAAACAAATTCCATGAAAATAGGATAAATACATATTCTAACAACTAAGAAAGCAAAGTTGACTATAGATACCCAACACTAGTTGGGAGTATATAGTCAATTTCCAAAAAAAAATTTATACCCTACACCACTATAGTGGAGAAGGTACTATGTGTTTGCGCTGATGTTTGTAACACCCAAAAATAAAGTATACTAATCGGTTCAGAATTACTTTCTGAGAAAATAATAGAAACGACTTAATTTTGTGTTAAAAACTAAATTTTCTCAAAAACTACCCTTTAGAATTTGATGATATGTATCTATATAGATAGAGTTTTTAAGATTTTTTGCTCCATCATATTTTATTGGTATTTAAAAAATTTGGGATTGGAAAAAATAATAGAATCGATTCACTGTATTACACTGGGGACACAAGCTGCGATTTCTTACACTGCGTTTTGTATTTATTTTAAAAAATTTTAATAATAAATGAAATTCTTAATATAAAAGTATACTTTTTACTTCAATTTTTATGTAAACATTTGTTTTCTTGAAGCTTGATTGGTCAATATGGATCCTGACAGCTGAATCAGAGTCCCGACTTTCAAGTTTTCTTAAATAAAAAGTTCAGATAGTGAAAGAAATGACTTCTAATGGTTAAGTTATCTAAAAAATTAGTTTTTGAGAAGATTTCGAGAAGAAAAAGTGTTGAATCGACTTATAGATAACGACAATCCAACGATTTTTGGGCCAAATTTCTAGCAATATTTCGCAATATTTCATAGGACCACAATTGGCCCTACCCCCCATATAAGGTCCCCTTTCGAAAATTACTTTAATTCTGATTACTAGCTTAAACATACGAATATAGCGATGGAATTCGACACACATAGGTTTCATGCAAGCCAATATTTCTCCACCAAACTATATGTGGATCGGTCCATAATTGTCCCTACCCCCCATATAAGGTCCCCTTCAGAAAAGTATCTTAGGAGCCAAAACCTTTCCAGATAATTTTATGTGGATCGGTCCATAATTCACCCTACTCCCTATATAAGGTCCCCTCCATAAAATTACTTTAACGCTCATTACTGGCTTAAAAAGAAGAGTATAGCGATGAAATTTCACAGAAGTAAGTTTTATACGATCCAAAATCTCTCTACCAAATTTTATGTTGATCGTCCATAATTAACCCTACCCGCCCATATTAGGTCCCCTTCAGAAAATGTCTTTAACGCTCATTATTGGAGTAAAAAAACTAGCATAGCGAAGAAATTTGACGTAAATAAGTATCTTAGGAGCCAAAACCTTTCCACCAAATTGTATGTGGATCGGGCCTTAAATAGGGTCCCGCATATAAGGTCCCTAACAGAAAATTACTTTAACGCTGATTACTGGCCTAAAGGACGAGTAAAGCGATGAAATTCGATATGGTTTTGTATCAGCTAAAATCTCTCTACAAAATTTTGTGGGGATCGGTCCATAATTGACCCTACCCTTCATTTAAGATCCCCATCAGAAAATCACTTAAACGCTCATTACTGGCGTAAATGAAATTCGACACTGATAAGTTCTATAGGAACCGAAATCTCTATACCAATTTGTATGCGGATCAGTCCATTATAACCCCACCCCAAATAAATTTCCCCTCAGAAAATGACTACAACTTAACCCCGTATAAGGTCCCTTTAAGAAAATGACTTTAATGCTCACTGGCTTAAAAATACAGGTATATCTATGAAATTTGAAATTAATAAGGAAATGAAATCTTCCTACCGACTTTTATGAAAATTGGTCCATATGTGTATATATAACCCTACTCCCTATATAAATTAACATATTTAATTCGAAAGAGCACTGTCAATAGTTAAACCCCCATTAATGGACCTCTTTAAAATATTACAATGATGTTCTCATTAATATCGATACATAAATTCAAAATATCAAAGTTTATTTATATGGCAGTGATTTGATGGTGGGTATATAAGATTCGGCATAGCCGAATATAACACTCTTACTTGTTGGTAATTGTTTTTACCGGTTGTAACCTCTTCATCTTAACAATAGCAGAATACTCATAAAAAATTTGACAGTAGTCGGTAGTCCTTTGAATTTTGTGTCAGAAACACAATTTTAAATTACTATTTCAATAAGGAAATAAATTAAAAATTGTACAAAATGGGTCAATGGTGTACCATTGCACTTTTTGAAGATCAAATTGTAGCAAAAAAAGTGATACCAATTTCTCTAACACTGCTGAACATAATAAAAATCTTTTAATAAATACAATTGTAATTGGTATCTTTAAAGATATACTTATTTTTATTAAAAACTTATTTGTTTTCTTCTTTTATGTTACAAGATGTTTCGGGTTTATCAAAATTTATCTTAGCATATTCATTTTTAATCTCCCCAATGTGTGAGTCGCTTAAGCTTTCCTTGAATCCATATCGAGTATTTACTTCATTCCCACATTTTGGTAGATCTAAACTGGCATAATAAAGATCCTGCTTCGTACAAGGAGCATCTGCATGGTGTAATTTGATGTCTTCAAAATTTTTGTCAGGACAAAGTTTACTGCACATTAAAGAAAGTGTTGAATCGTTGATCAAGATTGATGATTTTCCATCACTTTTATCATCTAGGTTCTGATAATTAGTTACTTTTTTAATTGAAGCATCCATCATATCAATTATTGTTTCAGTTGAATCTTTTTGTTTAATGTTATCTTGATTTAGCGTATTTATACATGCATTATTTAATTGATTATTATTCGAAGTTAATGTAATAGGCTTCATTTCTAAGTATCCATTATCAACATTTTTTAAACTTCTATAAATATATTCTGTTGAATTTGAAATGTTAAAATTTCGTGGTAGCATATTTGACGCGTTTTGGCACTCAAATTTGTTTTGTTGCAAATTTTGTTTAACAGTTTTAGCAGTTGACTTTGAAAAGTCAATTTCCATCAAATCGCCCATTTGATCAACTGCTTGTAAATTTCTATTAATAAGAACAGGAACACTGATCGACTTTCTCGTTGAACTTTCTCCAAAATCGTGTTTAATATTATCACTATTAAACAATTTAGGACTTGTTTTTGAACATATGCGAGTACTTTTGATTTTGGATCCTACTGAAAATGCTCTAACTCGATTAACTATAGCATCCTTAGATAAATCATTTCCATATTTGGTCCCATAGGAATTGGCTCGAAAAGAGGACAGTAATCTGAAAACAGAAACAAATTCCATGAAAATAGGATTAATACATATTCTAACAACTAAGAAAGCAAAGTTGACTATAGATACCCAACACTAGTTGGGAGTATATAGTCAATTTCCAAAAAAAAATTTATACCCTACACCACTATAGTGGAGAAGGTACTATGTGTTTGCGCTGATGTTTGTAACACCCAAAAATAAAGTATACTAATCGGTTCAGAATTACTTTCTGAGAAAATAATAGAAACGACTTAATTTTGTGTTAAAAACTAAATTTTCTCAAAAACTACCCTTTAGAATTTGATGATATGTATCTATATAGATAGAGTTTTTAAGATTTTTTGCTCCATCATATTTTATTGGTATTTAAAAAATTTGGGATTGGAAAAAATAATAGAATCGATTCACTGTATTACACTGGGGACACAAGCTGCGATTTCTTATACTGCGTTTTGTATTTATTTTAAAAAATTTTAATAATAAATGAAATTCTTAATATAAAAGTATACTTTTTACTTCAATTTTTATGTAAACATTTGTTTTCTTGAAGCTTGATTGGTCAATATGGATCCTGACAGCTGAATCAGAGTCCCGACTTTCAAGTTTTCTTAAATAAAAAGTTCAGATAGTGAAAGAAATGACTTCTAATGGTTAAGTTATCTAAAAAATTAGTTTTTGAGAAGATTTCGAGAAGAAAAAGTGTTGAATCGACTTATAGATAACGACAATCCAACGATTTTTGGGCCAAATTTCTAGCAATATTTCGCTAATTTGCAATTCGACCCGTTCTTGGTGGTTAAAAGGTTGCCAAAATGTGAAATATTGCTCAAAATCTGGGCCAAAAATCGATGGATTATGGTTATCTGTTCAAAATTTCTTCGGCTCGAAATCTATTCAAGAACTATTTTTTTAAGTAATTTAACAATGTTAAGTAAATTCTTTCACTGTTTTAACTTTTTATTTAAGAAAATTTGAAAATCGTGACTCCAATTCAGCCGTCAGAGCTCATATGGCCAACCAGACGTTGAAAAAAACACACGTTTAAGAAATCTTAGCTTATGTCTCCAGTGTAATACTAGGATTCGTTTCTATTATTTTTTCCAATGCTAAATATTTCAAATGCCAATAAAATACGATGGAGCAAGATATATATATATATATATATATATATATATATATATATATATATATATATATATATATATATATATATATATATATATATATATATATAAATAATATAAAAAAATTTAAAATTTGCCCAATAAATATATATATATATATATATATATAATATAAAAAAATTTAAAATTTGCCCAATAAATCTTGAAGGATTCGTGTCCTTCCCATATATCCTGAAATTAGATATTACCATAACTGGGAGAAAAAAAATTTGTACAGACATTAGTTTTGATATGCTTAATACATCCTTCAAATTTCGTTCAATTCAGACTAAGGATACGCCTACTTCAAAAATGTCCTTTTTCAAAAGCAAAAAAACACTAAAATGTTCTTATCAAATCACTTATAAAGAGATAGATGAGTAATTAATTGACGAAATACAAAAAAATTTAAAATTTGGTCAATAAATCTTTAAGGATTCGTGTCCTTCCCATATATCCTGAAATTATATATTGCCATAACTGGGAGAAAAAAACTCATATCCTAATGAAATTTTGTACAGACTTTAGTTTTGATATGCTTAATATAACCTACAAATTTCGTTCAATTCAGACCTAGGATACACCTACCTCAAAAATGTTCTTTTTCAAATACATAATCGAAAAAAGCAAAAAAAACTGAAATGTTTTATCGAATCACTTATAAAGAGATAAATGAGTAATTATACACATTAAATTTTTTGTTCCCCACCTCCTATATATCCTTAGTGAGGATTCCTTTCAACCTTCAAGGAAATCCTTTTCGTTTGATCTGATCAGATGCTCAAAACAAATAAAAAGTATTTATTTGTACTTGTAATGGCTTCCTAATAGAACTTTTTATATTTTTTTTAAATTATCATCTAAAAAAATTTCAACATAATTGTCAACTATTACGAAGTTCCATGTATCCACCCAGTATCTCTATTAAGTTTCAAACCCACTTTTTCCTGTATATAGCTCAATTGTTGCTCATTTCTAAAAGTGTAAATTTTAGTTTTTCCTACTATGTATCCATTAGTATTATTCATATCAAATTTCCTACAAATTGTTCAATATTATGTAAGACATTATATGTATTACTTTCCTTAAACTGCAGCCGCTTATGAAAAATATCCCAAAAATATAATAATGTTGACAGAAAAAAAATTATATAAAACCCGTAAAAGCACTCAGAAGCAGTTGAAGTTTATATATGTTAAAATACATACTTATAACAATAAAATATCAAAAAAATTCGAAAGTGATATCGGGTGTTTTTTTTAATTCACTACAGAAGTTGACATTTGTATCGAAATCGTCGTTATACTTAGGAGGTATCCTTTATCTAACGGTATTTCGAGAAGGATCAATATTTTTAAGCCAAAACAGTGTTACAATTATCGTTATATATATACCTTTCAATTGTATTACAAATATATCAGCCATTACTAAAACAGATTTTAATTTAAATAACGACAAGCAAATGTCAAATTCTAGGTTTTTCTCTTAAATATATTATCTTGCATGCAAACCTTAACTTTGAGCTACAATAACTAAAAAACTAGACAAAATTGTTAAATAACATTTTGCATTTGAACTAATAGGAATGTTTTCTATACAAAAAGAAAAAAATATAAAATTTCCTATATCGACTTTAACCATTTTTGGCTACGCTCGTGATAGCGTGCGTCCCCCCTCTAGAATTGTTCTATGGGTTGTAAAACTATGTCATACAAAAATTTAGGCTGATTGGATAACGTTTACAGGTGACGCAACGGCTCTGAAGTTTTCAAGTGCATTTACAAGGGGAAAATATCGATTTTTTCACTTTTTGCTCAAATTTGGCCATTTAGTAATAAATATTGATCTTTATTGTAAAGGAATCGTAATGTGCACAGAGTGAGCATTTCGGAAAGATATAAAACTCAAAAATTGCTTGAAAACTTTAAAAGTTATTGCAAATTCCCCAGGCCATTAACGTATCTCACAGCACATAAATTAGAAATGTGACAAAAAAATTTACTTTTTTTGGGATATATTCTAAAAAATCATGTTGTTACTTAAAATATATCTATAATTACTCGAGTATTAGTTTTGCCGTTTCAAATCTCTAATTTCATATATATATATATATATATATATATATATATATATATATATATATATATATACATATATATATATATATATATATATGAAATTAGATATATGAAAAATATATATATGATTACGTAAATTATCAGTTTTAAAAACAAAATTTTTCTTTTAAAAATGTGCACCTCAAGTTTACTCCATAGCCAAAAAGGGTTAAAGTATAATTTTTTATACTTAATGTAGAATCTTTTGATTTATTTCTGTTATTCCTCTAATTATATATAGCACTATTCAAATAGAGAGTGTTTTTTTCGATTTTTTGAACTTTGGTGTTAAATTTTTCCCAAGTGCCTTAAAGGTTTAATCTACCTTTTTTCACTCTATTTTAAATATCGGACTATATACGATAAATTCCAATCATTTTTGGTATATATGGCCGACAAATAAATATTATTTCGATATGGTACACTAAAAATTCCCAAATATTGCAAAATTTGACCTTTGAACTCCACAGATTATGGGTTAAGAACGTCCGATTTTAATAAAACTTCGGACATATATTTTATATTATCTGGACTATAATATTCTGATAATACTTTATGTAAAATGTGCAACAGTAAAGAATAAATACGTATTCTCTAAAATATTACAAAAAAAGCTATTTTCCCGAAATCCGCCGAGTTCCAATCGCAGGTACAGCTAAACTGTAAGAAATATTGACATAATATTTTTACCGTTTAATAGCCTTATCTATTGACCCTAAATCCCCATGAGATCTCCTAAAAAATTTGAAATTTGTTTAACAAGGATTTAAAAAAACTGAAATTGGAGATTTGAAACGGCCGTTGAAAAAATCAAACATTTTTGACCATAGCTGAGAATGAGTTAGCGTTATCGCGTTAGAAGGGCAAAAACTAATATTCGAGTAATTATAGATATTTTTTAAAGAACAAAATGTTTTTGTTAGAATATATTCCAAAAAAAGAACATTTTTTTGTCACGTTTTGAGTTCATGTGCTGTGGGACACGTTAATGGCCTGGGGAATTTGCAATAACTATTGAAGTTTGCAAGCAATTTTTGTGTTTTATATCTTTCGGAAATGCTTACTCTGTGCACATTACGATTCCTTTACAATAAAGTTCAATATTTATTACTAAATGGCCAAATTTGAGCAAAAACTGGAAAAATCGATATTTTCCCCTTGTAAATGCACTTGAAAACTTCAGAGCCGTTGCGGCACGTTATCCTATCAGCCTAATTTTTTGTAGGGGACCGGCAAAATTCGCAACTTCGTTTTATATATATATATATATATATATATATATATATATATATATATATATATATATATATATATATATATATATATATACAATTTATGGATATTTTGGATTATATTATGAGCTAACGAATGAGAAAGTCAATTCTGCTAATGTAGGATGTATACACTTATTGGATGATCATAGTCCATATTTAATTGTTGTGCCAATTATAAGTAAAGACTTACGAGGTACCAAAGTTTTGCAACTAAATTTATACAATTTTACAAAATTTGCTGTTTTTTGGATATTATATTTGCGCCTCTTCGGTTATATAAAATTTAGAAATGAGAAAAAGTAGACACTGTAAATGCGCGTCGTTTGATGTATATCTCCAAAATGCGCTCGTGAAGATATCATTGTGGGAGAAGCTTAAATATTGGAAAAATAAACGTGAAAGTTTCAAAAAAGGGCTTTTTAGCGAAGCACACTAACAGCGTAACTTCAATGT